CCAATGGGGAGGTTATGGCTTCTACCCCGTCACACACAGAGCAGGGCCCGTGGGTGGGTGGGGGGGGTGCGGTTGGGGCACCGCACCCTGTCACACACAGAGCCGCAGGGCGATCAGGGGGTTGGGGAGCTCCCCCCTATCAGGCACAGAGCAGGGCTGATCAGGGGGTTGGGGTGCCTTCCCCTGTCACGAACAGAGCAGGGCGGATAGGGAGGTTGTGGCCCCGCCCCCTGTCACACACAGAGCCACAGGGCGATCAGGGGGTTTGGTCGCTGCCCCGTCACACTGATCCCAGTGCTGGGAGGCATATTACCCTTTTACTATATAGGATAGAGGCCTGGTGCACAGGTCGGGGCCGGCTGGTTTACCCTGAAGGGTGTCCTGGTTCAGGGTGGGGGTCCCCACTGGGGTGCCTGGCCAGCCTGGATGAGGGCCGTTTTCAGGCTGGCGGGTGACTGAAGCTCCCAACGTGTCCTTTTTTTCTTTTTTTTTTATTCTGGGCCAGCTTTAGCTCTGAGGCTCGGCTCCAGCTCTCAGGCCTCGGCTGCTGAAAGCAGGTTTCTGGCCTTTGTTTACCTTCTGTATTTGAAACAATGTTGCGGTACTGCTGGCTGAAGCCTGGCTGACTAAAGCAGGTTTCTGGGTTTGGTTTAGCTTCTATATTTGTTACAATGTTTCTTAGAGTTGCAGCTCAGAGGCCGGCAAGGCAGGCGGGGAAGCTTGGCTTGCTCTGTCACTGAAGCAAGCAAGCCTCCCTGTTCACATCAGCTGCCTGGCTGCCGGCCGCCATCTTGGCTGGCAGTTAATTTGCATATCTCCCTGATTAGCCAATGGGAAGGGTAGCGGCCGTATGGCTAATTACCATGTTTCTCTTTTATTAGATAGGATAATCTTTGCTGGTTTCCCATGACTCTCTTTTTATTGTGGTAAATATGTATATTAACCATTTTAACCATTTTTAGATGTACAGTTCTGAGGCATTAAATACATTCATATTGTTGTGTAAATACCACCATCCATCTCCAGAACTTTTTCATCTTCCCAAATGGAAACTTTTCATCTTCCCAATGGCAACCACCTTTCTACTCCTTGTCTCTATGACTGACTATTCTAGGTTTTTCATTTAAGTAGAATTATACATTTGTCCTTTGGGGGTCTGCCTTATTTCACTTAGCATAATGTTTTCATGGTTCATCCATGTTGTAGCATGTGTCAGAATTTTCTTCT